CTCAGCCAGTAGACATATTGACTAATATTAATAACTGCAGTAAGTCATTGCCCTATTTACTCCTGTCAATATGTTTTTCAAGTAGGAATTGGTATTGCCGTTCTATAGATATGAACATGAAGGGAACTTGTCCAAGGTCACGTAGCTAGAAATGGCAGAGGTGGGATTTGAAACCTATTTTTTTTTAAACTATAAACCTATGTATTTACTTCTAGAATACTCTTCCATTTTGTAAATTAATTCTCTGAAGTAAACGGCTCTGGGTTCCCTGATTATTCCCTGCAACTTACTCTATTAGAAACACTATCTTACTTATTGCACAGATGAGAACATGATGAGAAACAGCCTTGTGAAGAGGCTTCTTGGGAACAGAATGCCAAACCACTGGTGATTAGTGCCAGCTTCCCCGACAAGGACCCGAGAGCTGGGTCATCTGCAGTACCTGCCTTAGTGTACCAGGTTGAAGCTTTAGCCTCCTAGGAATTTCTACTTGGTACCATCCATATTTCTAGAAGAAATACAGTAAGTCATATAGAATAATGGCAGACTATCTATACTTTAAACTATAGTTAAACAAAATAGCTTTAATTGAGCTGTAGTCTCAACTCATTAAGTTGCTGCTTAGTAATTTAATCCTACATCGAAAAAAATGGTAGAATTATGCTCTGTTCTGGCTTGGTTATTTAGCAAGACAACATTCAGTGCCACACACATAGGATAGTGTGGTCGTAGCTCATTGGAAGCTGTAGTCAGGAGTAGCTAGAGAGTTTCCAGATGTGCTACTCTGGAGCCACGGAGTCAGTAAATAATAATATGATGATAGTGCAACGCTAATATTTTCTCTAAAAAATATTCAAAGATTTAGAGGTTTGCTGATAAAAAATAAAAGAAGCTCCTGCTTCAGTTTCTGCCGTATCAGCAAAGCTGAGCCATCTCTGGCCTGACACCAGGCAAGAATTTGAAAAGAGCAAAGGAAAAGTGATTTGTGAGCTAAGGAATAAAACTGCCAAACGTTTTTGTTTAGAGCACTTTGATATTTGCCTGGTTCTTAGAACACTGCAAATTTGAGAATAATGTGGCATCTGGAATCTAAAAGCTGCCATATTTTGTCTGAATTTTCTCATGTCATCTGCCAATTTGACTTTTAAATCATAGCAGTCAATATGTATTTTACATCCTGTGTCAGAGACTTCGTTTCTGGAATATAAGATGAAACTGCAGATTCTGAAGCCTGATATCTGAAACTCTCACGGCATCCCATAAAGTGGTTATTTATGCTACCAAAGGTATGCAATGGATTGAACATAAAACCATGGTCACATAGGAGTTTTCATGGCTTTAAGATCATCTAGTCCAACTCCCCTCATAATTTCTGGTTGCTTTCCACATGATCCATATTCAATGATCTTCAGATATTTAATTAAATATTTCACCCTAGTGGCCTCAGAAACACCAGTCCATTTCAGGGCAACTCGGAAAAAAAAAAGAAGCACTAATAAAAATCTGTGCTTTGAGACAAAGTTCAACAATGCTCTAGTATCCAGGACTGCCAAAATACTGTGACCTAACCAGTGCCACAGACTCTCACTCATGCTCCTTGGCACCATATCTAAGTGTGACAAACTTTTAATACCTTCGTTTTATTATAATCTGAATTGTCACTATCCATAACTCATAACTCTCCTATCTCAATACTGGGCAGAATCTGTACACACTTGGTCTTCACATTAATGGCGATGGTCCTTCACAGAAGTTAGAGCTGTACTCCCATTACTTGTCCTTCTATTAAAACGTCCAGGTCCCCGGTTTTCCTCAGGACCAAGGCTGATGTGATGGCCGCAGGAAGCTGGTTTGCTCCCCGGAGCAGGACTGGGCTCTCGCACAGTCTGCACGTTTAGACCGATGCTTTGTGGACTCTCCTTGTGAACTTTCTCCTAACAGACTGACCCAGCCCCGTCTATCACAAGAGAATACTTTTGGCTCTAGGACTTCCAGTTTTCTTCCTTTTGTTTTTCTTTTCCTAATGAAATGTCCCTTTTGTGTTGTCATTTTGATGGAGAAACAGAATTAAAAGCGCTGGTTTAGTGTACTGCTAGCTGGCAAAATCCTCCTTACCCATAACTGGGCTGACCTACAATTTTCAAAATCTCCGGTACCAAGTGTTTTTAAATAATAAACACTTACTATGCAATATGTTCTTTGGAAATGTGAAAAGAAATATCTGACACATAAAAGAAATTCCTAATATCGTAACATATAAGATGAAACTTAAACTGCAATTTTTAAACATGTTTTTTAAACCAATCGGTAATCTTTGAACAAGAATACTTATGTAGTAAGGAACAGGGCATCAATCACAATTCTTACTAAAATCATTGTATGTACTATAAGATAGGCATATTTAACCTTATAATAACCTGCTTTGTAATTACTGTTATCCCCACATTACCGAGGAAGACACTGAAGACACTGAAGTTGACAGAGATGATACCTCTGGTCTGAATCACAAAGACAATTATGACAGAACCAGAATTCAAATCAAGGGTAATTCAAATTCAAATCTTTCATCATATTATACAGCCTATTATTGTGTTTGCTTTCCAAATAAAATAATTTTGGAAATAAGTATTTTTTTTTCAAATTTTACTTTATCTACACACTAAAACATCCCGTATACCCTGAACTTAGAGTCAGGCATGCTAGGGTCTGAAGCTTACTTTGTCGCTTAATAGCTGTGTGATCCTGGGCAAATGACTTGACTGCTCTGAGCTTGGGTTTACTGCAAGTGAAGTGGAACTAAAAATACCCAAGTCTTTGAGATGATGAAGAAATGTAACGTGTAGAAATGGGTTAGTTAGTGCCTGTAAAACCTGGTGCACTGTGTGACACAGATGGCCGTATAGCAGAAAAATAACCAATCCCATGTATTTCACAATATCCCCCCTTGGCTGCATAGGCACACAAAAGATTTTTAAAATCTCAGAATTGTTTGGTTGAAAACAGGCACTCTTGTCTACATGGTTACATCCTTTCTCCGTCACAGCCTTGACTTAGAATGTCCTAGAGTACAAGGCCTAGAACGGAGGACTTCTGTGGGCTGTGCCCTGCCCATCCTGGTCACGCCACTCTGCACCCCTGACTTCCAAAATCACATCCTGCTGCCACCCTGGGATGACCTCATGTGACACACCCTCTGGGCAGCAAGTTTTATCCTTGTTGATGCCTTAGTGAACTCGATTCCTGGTCCTGGTTTCTCCTCCCCCACCTCACCTCCACAAAGCTTCTGGTATTGACCACGTGTTTCCAGTTGTAACTGGAGAGCAAAGCTGAGATTGAGAAGCTTTAGAAATAAAACCTGGATTTTAACTATCTGAATCTCTACCACTTTCTACTCATTTTCATCCCCTGTTCTCCCCAGGTGACTGTTGAAACACTGGATTGATGTGAGCCATGTGGTAGTGACTGCATTTTTCATGGGAAGCCTGGCCCTTTGTGCCTACCGACCGGGAGGCACATGCTGACTGCACACATAGTGAACCACCTTTCAGGTCAACGTGGTTTAGGTTTTATGTGGTTACCAGACTACATTCTGTTCATCATTCTTCAGCATTTTATTGTTTGCCTAAACTGCAGTGTGGTCATTCACATACATTACAAAATATACAGAGAATATTGCTTTCTTTCATAAACCAATAGTCTCAGAAAATCAAACTCCCAAAAGTAAATGCAAATAGCTTCAGCTGCCTCAGTTAATGATCAGTGGCACTATCATTTGAACACTTAACATAAATCTATCATTACTCATAATCTCAAAATCTCCTCCTCTTTTATGAGAAGTGGTGAAATTAAACAATATTATACTCTGAAATTGATCACATATAACAAAAATATTAATTCATTATATTTATAAAAACATTGCAATAACAGTAAAAACATCCCATTTGAAAATTCAAAATTGTTGTCCTATATCAGCATCCACACATCAACCTGAGCATGGAAATATACATATATATATATCTAGATATATATCTAGATATGTAATTTAATTATATGATATAATTATATATATATGATTTCAGTCATTTGACATTCCAACAAATTTGCCATGTCTTAAAAACAATTTAAACACAATTTAAAAAATATGTCAACATTATTAAATTTTTAAATATTAAGTTGTGACCATTTTATAAATAAATGTTACATAATAATAATATTCCATAATGTATTAATATTTTGGAAATCAATGATTCATTCATTTAATCATTCATTTATTCAACAAATATTTAAGCAATACTTACTTTCTTTAAGGCATAAAAATTCTTTGAAACGTTTTGTTTCAGTTTTGATTTAGAAGTGTGTGATATTTATGAACAGAATCAATATATGCAACACAAAATAATGGTAAACAATGATATTACTTTTTAAGAATAGATTATGTTTTATGCTACTTGCTCTACAACTTTATGTAATCCCTACTTCCCACACGAAAGCTAACATACCACTTTACTCTGCTGACTCAATGAGAACCTGGGCTCTCACTGATACTCTTTGGAGCTCTGTGGGGCTTCATCGCATGCCTATTTCAGCTACTTGGAGTTGTGTGAACCTAAGGACCAATTAAGTAGAACTCTGCCCCCACTGTCTTATCTCCATAACCAGTTAGAACCATGTGGCTGCTTTCAAAGCTCAAGTACTTGAAATGCCTCATGGCTCAAGTGGCAGAGTATCCGGGCACCCCCAGCGGCACTCGGGTGGCTGACTGAGCAAGAACACATTTTGTCTTTCAGGAACAGAGCTTTGTTTGTGATGTGCTTAAGCCCTTACTACTTACATTTAATTTCAAAAAGTGATAATGTGCTATAGATTGTATAGCTGCAATTGGAGTTCCAAGCATTAGTAAATTTCAACAAATATGTAACATAATGCTAGACACAAATACTTTCTTTTACTCATATTATGAAGAAATTCTTTACACCCGATCAAGGTCAAAACAGACTTACCTGAATCTGTAGCTGTGACAATCAACACAAAGTGCTCCTTGGTCTCACGGTCCAAACTCTGTGTCACTCGAAGTTCCCCACTATCTGAGAGAGTGAAAGCACTGTCTTCATTTCCACCAAACAGGACGTAGGAGAGTTTGCTGTTAGAACCTTGGTCATCATCTCTTGCCACCACCTGGAGGAGAGCATAACACATGCCATGAAGGTCAGTAAATCTAAAACAATGCACACCACCAAATAAAATGTAGCATTGAAAATAATGAGACAGAATCATAGGTACCAGCGACTTTTAACCTTTTTCATCTCATGGCACACATAAACCAATTACTAAAATTCTGTGGCATACCAAAAAATAGTATTTTGGTGATCTGACAAAAAAACATAGGTATAATTTATATTCATTCACATCGGATGGCTATTGCTGTGTTGGCTGTTGTCATTTTTTTTTATTTGACAATCTAAGGGAAATGAGGTCGGTGCCCCTGACTAAATAGTCAGGTACTTCATGTTTTAAAAATTCTTGCCACGGCACACCAGTTGAAAATGGCTGACACATACCAATAATAAAAGGTTTCAAAGATAAAGTTTTAAGTTTCAAGTAAAAAATTCAAATGATACAGAGTAGTATGTATGATTGGTGTAAAAACAGGCACAAAATCAATTCATAGGATTTTTGGAAAGCTTTTCAAAAACTTTTAACAGCAGCTTCATCTCGGTAGTTGGATTTGTAAAGAGGAAAGGGAGAACCATGTTTGCAACCAAGTTTTCAAACTTTTACATCATTGCATTTTCTTACTATGTGCAGCTATTCCTGTTAGAGTGAAAATTCAAAGATGTACAAATACCCAAATGTGTACAACATGAATATACATAGAAGAACGGGATTGAAATGTAATATTCAATCTACAAGGAGGTCAATAGGTATAATTTTCATAAACCTTTCAACCTTTCAAGATTTGCTATATCTGCAATTAAGCACTTATGGATGAGAACGAGGAAGAGGGAGGGGTTGTATGAATGTTATAATTAAATTAGATGTCTTATAGAAAACAGTATTTGTTTAAATATACTGACCTGAAGGATTGTTCTGGGTAGTGTCCCTAAATTCTCAGGGACATGTACGGAATATGGAGATAGCTCAAATATGGGGACAAAATCATTACTGTCCAACAGCACAATGCTGACCGTGGAGGTGTCAGTTCTGGGGGTACTGCCCCGATCTGTTGCCTGAACAGTTAAAGAGTAAGTAGGGGTCTTTTCTCTATCCAGTGGCTTAGCCACAGTGATGGCACCTGTGACAGAGTCAATCCGAAATTCCTGATTGGCATTCCCATCAACAATGCCATAGCGAACCTGTCCGTTTGTGCCTTCATCTCCATCTGCTGCGTACACTTGTATTATATCTGTTCCTGTGAGCGTGTTTTCATTCATCTCCACTTGATACAAAGCCTGCGCAAAAACAGGGTTGTTATCATTGATGTCAAGCACCATCACCATGACCTCTGTAGACGAGGAGAGAGATGGGTGACCCTTGTCTGTGGCCACCACGGTTAGAGTATAATTAGAAACTTCTTCTCTGTCCAGTTCTCCAGTGAGCCTCACTTCCCCATCGATAGTCCCAATGCTGAACTTGTTTCCCAAGGGGTTCAGCAGGGTGTACTCAATATAGCTATTTGGGCCGCTGTCCGGGTCCGTTGCTTGAGCTTTGAAAACAATGGTATCAATGGGCGTGTTCTCTGGAATGTACGTCAATTTAGGGGAAAGAAATGCTGGTGGGTTGTCATTCACATCCAGCAAAATAATGGAGACTTGAGCAGTGCTGGTGAACCTGGAGGCCGGAAGCGGTGGCAGGTCATGCACCTGAACAACCAGGTTGTAAAAGGACTGACTTTCCCGATCCAGAGCCTTCAGGACGGTCAGCACACCATTCTTGTCAACTGTAAATTGCCCGAGGCTGTCACCTGAAGCAATGCTATAAGCCAACTGGGAGTTGATGCCTGAAATGAAAGGGAAAAAATTAAATTTTCTTCCATGTGTGCCGATTGCCAACTGAGCTGCACCAAATTTTTTACACTATGAAACTGCATATTTGATATATGATGCCTCCAACCACACCTTATGGATGATTTAGCTGCAGTTAATTTTCTCTGTCAGTAACACATATTGCATAATTCTTTTCCTGTTAACATTTGATCTAAAAAGATGTTTACAACCTGGCGAACAAATGATATATATACTGTTTGCTATTTACTACGGTGTTGAAATGTTAAATTACACAAGTAAAGAGGAAAAAATATTCCAGAGAGTGTATATTTTTCTACACATTTCCTTATTTCTGTCACATAATTCCTGAAGGTTGAACATTAACGGTGCCACACTCTATATTATTAGCCCAAAATTTATAACTTCAGTAATTTATGGAGGCCGACACCAATTTTCAGAGGAGGGTAATAAAATTTTCTAATGTATGGCATTAGTCATGGATGCTTTGAGTCTGCTTTTACATTTCTTGTCAGACCAATAAATACTTTTTAATTCCTATTAGGCACCTGGCTAATGGCCTTTGTGAAAATAATTCTCTTTCAAATTTTATTATGTACAATTAATGTGTTTTAAAAATATTATTTAAAGGAAATGTCAGCAGTAAAATTATACATGAAAGGCTACACATATAAATGCTCACACTATTATTGGGCTGTATTTACATAGTATTTTATCTATTTTTCCTAGAAACATGTGTTACTTTTTAATTAAAAAATGATAAATACTTTTAACAATAAAGATAAATTTTAAAAAATTGATATATAAATCCTCATTTCAGAAACTGATTGTAGACATTCTTCTAAAAAAGATGATGTGGAGAATGGACCAAGCTCTTGTTTTAGTAAGTCATTTACAGGAAAATAACAGGTAAGCAGTGAAAACAAAGAAATACAAGATTTCCTGACCCACAGTAGTGTTTTCTTCACTGACCCAGCATGCCTTTTACATTTTCATATTTTATCATAAAGATATTGGGATATTGTAGGGTATTAAAAGACTTGCTAAGAAATATATGGTGTAGCTAGATAACCCATCCTTAATAAAGATTTTATATTCTGGGATTTTAAACCAGGGAAATTTTATTGAGTTAATAAATTGCTTACAAATAGCTCCTATATTTCTGAAATTAATTTCAAATATTCAGGTGTCAGAAATGATATTCACTGTTTGCCAAGAGTCTTCTAGAACAATTTGATCATCCTTTTTCTCTCCTTTGAAAAATACTTTCTCAGGATTCTATGAAGACTTGAGTGACCTTTTTGCCTTTTCTTAAAACTCATCAAGTTCCTCACAAAGGCAAGTTTAGTTGAATAGTATTTTTTTTTCTACCCAGGAGAGCCTGCCTGTTCTTTGGTAAAAAAATGCTAAAATTACTCTTTTCCGGTGATTTCGTGGTCTCTATCTAATGTGCTTTGTCTATATATTGATGCAGAGAACAAATATTTATGAAGAAACTTTCAGGCACTGGCTTATTCACAAAAATGTCTAAGATAAACAAGGGTTGAGTAGATCTTTGAAAAGGTAGGTTTTCCTCCTCACTGTGAGTTGTGGCTTTTACTTTATAGTTTATGACTACTCACAAGTGAACAAAGCAGAGGTTATAAAGTTCAAAACACTTAAAACTCTGAGGACCAGGAAAAATATGAATAAATAAAGCTAATGGAGGCCAGTCAATTCAACAGCAGGAGATAAAGAAAATTTTAAGATCTGAGTAGAACAAGGTCAACAGCTACTTCAACTCCTTGACTTAGAATTCCACAGGTGTGGGGGGAGAAAAGCACCATGATAGAGGGTCCTGCAGGAAGCCACCGCTTCCAATACTGTCAGGAGAGTGCACCAATGAATGCAGAAAGCCCATGGACCTTGGGCATTAGCAGGGCTGACACTAAGCATCGAGTGTTGAGATAGTGGTGGCTCAAGGCAATTCCCTAACCTGATAATCCTTTTACTGTTTACCAAACTTTACCTTTGATATGTCTGTATGCATTTATTTACTTGTGTATTCAAGTAAATAAAATGTGGACTGGATCAGAGGTCAGTGTGCTCTTCACAAAAGAGACACTCCCTGACCCCTAATGCCTTCTAAATTCATATTTCTTGTATAGCATTTTCATTTGTGCATCAGCCCCTCCTTCAGATCCTGAACCCTGTCATGCAGGTCACAGTAGGGTCCCCCCAAATTGCTTTCTAAGGATATATATATATAGATCCTGAACCCTGTCATGCAGGTCACAGTAGGGTCCCCCCAAATTGCTTTCTAAGGATATATATATATATATATATATAATTAATTTGCTTTAATATTAATATATATGTATATATTTAATATATATTTTAAATCCAATTACTCTCTAAGGAATTTTTTTTTCCATTTCCTATAGCTAAATCTATCAGTGAATACTGAATTCTTATTCTTTGAGGCACAATTATATCAAGAAAAAGTTGTGAAAACATCTGGATAAAAATAATACCAACAAGCAGAGATATAAAATTTAGTTCTATGCAAGCCTATAAAGTCTTTCATGCCCAAGATCAAAATGAAAAATACCAACAAAATGACACATGGCCACCAAGTGATGGTCTAGCATGTCTACATGAAATAAATCAACTGGAACATCCATGTGTATGCTGCTTCCTTGAGTAAACAACTAAATCACAGAGGCAACCAGAGAACCTGATACTGAGATTATATAGCCAAACAGCAAACAGCAGAACAGCCTCTTTTTTAGGGAAAGAGTTTGGTGGGGGAGGTTGATGGAGTAAATTTAACTTTAAATAGAATTATGAAAAAGAAAAATTTGATTACATAGTCAAATTCATCATGACAAATACATTAGGTAATACTATTAAAAATAAGCTGGGGATAATTATGATTATCTTTGAGAAAATAAACAGAACAATATAACTACTGCTGCACAAGATATGGCAGCACCATCTAAGAAGCAGGTCTCAGCTCTGGGACTGGACCCTCACTGCCTCCATCAGCCAGGGAAGCCTCTACATTGACTTTGCTAAAAAGAAAAGGCCTTTCCACTCCTGACAAGTCTAAGTGACGCTGGGCATGTGCTCTCCATCCACAAAATTCACGTGGACATATGGAAACTCAAAACTCTCCCTGAACATTTGTAGCATCCGAAAAAGAGCTCAGGCCATTTCTCTCTCTCTGCTCTTTGCATCAAATATTAGAATCATGAAACAGTAAATACATTATTTTAAATTCTATAATTTATCCAAAGCACTGAGACTTGAATCTAGTGGGCTTTCACAGCCCACCAGATCCTCAAATTTAAAACAGTCCAAATTCCTAACATTTGTGTTCAATATTCTGAAAATGGTTTGGTTACATGATTCTTTCTGGCAGTTTTATTGTGTATGTGTGGTTGTATTGCGTTTTGGGGGATTTTTATTTTTTATTTCAGTCTCACGAATAACTTAGTTTCAGAAAACGTAGCACGTAACTACAGATATATAGTTCTGTTATAAAATGTGTACACTTATTCACAATATGAAAACCATTCACAGGTCAAATGACCTCCGCTGGGCAGCATACATATAGAGGTGAATTTATGAGGCAATAATTACAATCATTTTATTCTCAAAATAGCCTATGACTCCCCAAGATTTTGAAGACTATAAGGTTTATTCCTAAAGTAATAAATAATTATCAGAGCCATCATATTTCCATAAAGCTTCAATTTATAATAGTTTGACTCAAAATAGTACTTTTTAAACTGTGTGCATGGAAGCCTTGAGATCAGTACATACTCTACTTACCTTGTGAAAACAATAAAATATTTGCTTTATTTTTATTAAATGATCATGTAACCTAAAATTTTAAGTTAACCTCTTGGAGAATTTAGATAATGATAACAAAATATTTTATATTTATTATCATATAAAACGTATTCATCTAAGAAGATGACAATATTACCTCCTCAGGAACATTTTGACAGAGAGTAAAATGAATTTATTAATTTTAGAAAGTCTACACAATACTGTTTGCAAAATACTTTGAGAACTATTTAATGTAACTGAGTTGGCAATTTTAAGCAAACAAGGTTACCCTTGTATAGTCTTATCATTATCCTTGAAATTCAGAGAGAATAGGAACTGTGTCCTATATTTTAGGTCAAGGTACAGGAAATTACACTGATAAAAGTATTCAAAACTAAAACAATGGGGAAATGTAGCTTGATTTTTTTTTTAAATCCAACACAATTAAAGGGGGAGGTAGGGGGGAATCTATGAAAAGCAACTTGAAGTCAATGGTTAATGGATGTCTGTGTGTTACATGTGCATGGCCTATCCCAGCATATTTTCACAAAGAAAGTTTCTTATTTGTTATTTTCCCAGTTTCCTACATTTTAAGGCATGAGGATAAATGAACTGTATCCCAGAAGAGCACACAATCCTATGAAACAATGGGCCCTCCCTACCCGTAAGAAATAAATCACAAAGAAACCTGGCACAAAATTCTTCACTACAGAACAGAATGGACCAATCAGTCACAAGGACAAATAAGAAAATACTCATATCCAGGGAGCAGGTAAACTAATTAAGGCTATAATAGAGAGATCAACTTCTAAAATAGAGACTAACCTCACTTGTTTATAAATGTCTATTTGGAGCCGATCCACAGAGTGGGGCTGATGTACAGGAAGGAAGCAGAGTCTGCAGCATTCCTAGGCCAGGACCGTGCCAACTTAACACCGCACTCGACGAACGTTGGTTATTGTTCGTATGACTAGTAATAGCAGTGGTACTAGTATTACAGCCACTTCTATCATTTCTTTTTCCTTTCGTGTTTTTTTTTTACTTTCTATCTTTTATTTTCTATCTTAGATGTAATCATGAATCCAATATTAATTGTGCTTGAATAAGAGGAGAAAACTTTAAAAAGGACTTCCAACAAATTTGAAAGAAATCATTTCCAATTTTGTAGATTGAAACATATAAAATACTGATACTTTTTGCCCCCCGCCCTCCATCTCTGTAAAGGACATTTCTAGACACTCCTGAAAGGGAACTAAGTATAGAGCAGGAGGCTGAAACACAGTGATATTCTGCAACTACATAAATCAAGTTAGGGAGAATCAGGAAATTCTAAATTAAGATTGATATGCCTGTGTCACTAGGCATATCCTCGGGCTAGGGACCTATTTCCTCTTCAAAGGACTGTCCCTTGTTTTCCCTACTGAGTGGACATTTAGCTGCATCCAATGCAGGGAAAACAAGGTAACGACTTTCCCAACAGTTTAGTTAATGACTGATAACCTGCACAATGTTATCACTAACAATAAGTTATCTGACATATGTCCTTACAAAGCAGGTTTTAGAAGGAAGGCCAGGGGAGTCATATGTTTTTTTGGTTTTTTTTAAAAAAGCTTATCAAATGCTTTTGTAATGAATAAAAATCAAATACATGGAAAGTCTAGATTTAGCAAAAAATCTCAATTTGATTTTATAGCCTAAGAGCTCTGAGACTGTTCTTTGAATCAAAGCATGAAAGCTTGCCAAAATATTATTAGCAGTTTTCAGGTAAAAATACAAAACTAAACATAGATTCCTAAGTATTTTTTGAAGACTTTGGTTTTACTTTTGCTTCCAAATTTTATTCTTTTTACATTAACATAATATATGTAAGTAACTATTTTTATTTATCTGACAAAAACCTACCAAAATGTTGTTTTATGATTTCTACGTTACAAAACTGCAATACTGCCACACTTCTTTGGGGGGCGGGGAAGATAAAGATGATAAAGTTTATAAAATAATAACAATGCATGCTGCCTGTCATAAATAAGAATTTAACTGAAAAATTATTTAACTTGTTTCATCCTCTATAGCTAAATTATAGATCTATTTCTTAACTTTGAACCTATATTCACAAAATGCAATTTTGTGACAGCTGAACAATGTAAATAAATATAACATAAACCCAATAATATTTTTAATAAAGTTTTTTAAGTATATAAAACAAAATACATACCGTCATCTGCGTCGGTAACATTAAACACAAGAACAGTAGATCCTAGAGGTAGATTCTCCATTAAAGATGTGCTATATGAACTCGAGCTGAAAATAGGTGGGTTGTCATTTACATCTAGTATATTGAAATAAACCCTGATGGTAGTAAATTGTCCCCCACCGTCTTCAGCTCGAACAGTGAGGATATAATATTGCTGTGCTTCATAATCTAATATTCGAGTCAAATTAAAGACTCCAGTAACTGGATTCAGGAAAAATATGCCATCTTCATCATCTTCATTCACACTATATGTAATTTCTCCATTCACACCAGAGTCATCATCTGTAGCTAAAATAGCTGCTACCAAAGAACCTATCAAAAAGAATAAATCAACAGTCCACATTAATGGGGCATGGATATTACCAAGAAAATACACACACAAAACCAAAAAATTATTTATACAATGGAATATTTTAACTAGAGAATCACTATGAAAATATAATGAACACAACATTCAGCTGATTTCTATGTTAACACTGATACCAACATTCCCAACTATTAACATATAGCATAGTCAATATCCAGTAGATCTTACGTTGCAGTGTAAATATTCTGGGTATTCATGGACACAGACAGTAGTGTACTGAAGGCCTGGAAAGGGCGGGTATAGGATGGAGGGAGTCAATGGGAAAAAACAAAGCTGACATCTGTAATACTTTCAACAAAAAGATAAATTTAAAAAATATTCTGGTACTAATACCACTTCTGAGATTATTTTGCTATCTGGCACTACCAATTCATGACCACATATTGATGAATTTAGGGGACATGAATGAGGGTCATTGCTAGTGTCAGGATTGGGCATTCCAAGAAATAATACAGACATATGCCAAGGAGGTACCACTTGACAGCTCAGATGGCCACTGCTATAATTAAGCAAGGAATAAATGTGATGGGAGTTTCATGAAGAACAGGCTCATCTTGGGGAGTGAGGGGAAAACTGCCGTGAGGAAGTGAAGAGTCTTCTATAAATGCTTCTTTCCTTGTCAAATGAGTTTCCAAAAATATGCCTTACTAGGCAAACACACTCCAAATGTGACTCAGAATAAAATTTCAATTTTAGGTAAGAATTTCCAATAATGGGAATGAAGCAAACACATAGATACTGCATACTCAAACTCAACAATCACAGCATCATATGTGCCAAGAGGCAAGACAATAATTCAGGATTCTTATTCTATTCTCTTTATTGAGCACCTGCTACTTCTCAAGCCCCACTTTAGTAAACTGAAATACACATTCTAAATTAACCTTCACCCTAAATCTAATGGGAGTTACTGTTTCCATTTTACAGCAGGAGGAATTGAAGCTTAGAGAAGTGAATTAACTTGTCCTTGGTCACATAACTAGTGAGGGTTAGAACCACTTTTCATAGGCTTCCTTATGCTTTTTCTTTGCTCTTTCTATACACAGCAGCATAATCACAATTGACATTTCTAAAGTGGAAAAACAAAATCGAAAGTGCAGCTACCCAAAAAATTAACAACCCATGTCACAAGTACTTTTAGAAACAGAAATATCAGTAACTAGTAATCAGATGAAGGACTAACCTCATTTGCTCTGAAAAGTCTAGCAATTTTCTTAGGAATTATAGCAAAGATGGCTAATAAAAAACTTGAAAATCCAGCATATATATTTTTATACCTAGTAGCAGATAATAAAAACTACTCACTAATGAAGGGCAGTTAAAACACAGTCCATGACTGGAGTCAAATGTGATCCTTGCAAAATACACCTAAGGGCGTGCCCCTACCTGGGGTTGTGTCTTCTGGGATGTCGAAAGAGTACACAGGCCTGGAGAACTTGGGCGAGTGGTCATTCACATCACTGACAGTGATGTTGATTCTCATATCAGAGGACTGGAGACCGTCATCGGCACGGACCAGCAAGGAGTATTTGGAACGGCGTTCTCTGTCCAACCTCTTGGTCGCTATCAGATCTCCGGATTCAGGGTCAATGCGGAAACTGTCATCAGCTCCACTAATGATGGTGTATGTGACGAGAGCATTTGCACCCTAAGAAAGAAAGACCAGCATCTGAACTGTCAGAAGTGGAACAGTTAGGGCACCGCTCCTTAGGCTGAGTATGTGTTTGACAGTGAGAGGCTCTGGACTTAATTTCATACGATGCTATAAGATTTCAAAAGGTACAGGCTAGTGTAGTAGGTTACCTAGCCAGCCTTTCACCATTCACTCATTAAATAATATAGAAAATCTCAATCTTCAGGATTAGTTATATTTTTTAATTTATAAAATATACACGTGGAAAGGAGTAAAGCTGTCACTGCAGATGGTGTGCTAAAGGCTTGCCCTTTGCCAGGCCCTGTTACAACACTATGAGATATGACTTTTCAAAGGAAGACGCGGGGTTCTGAGACACTAGCTAACTTACACATCGTCACACATAAGTGCCAGTAAGGACTTCAAACCCAAGTCTTCCTGACTGAGCTCTGTGTTCCTTCTCATTCAGCAGGAAAAGGTACCTAAACGAGGCAAGGGCTAAATGGAGGAGGTTCGCAAAAAAAGCACCGTAAGAACCAAGGAGAAGAGAGATTATTTTGAGTTGATTTATTAGGAAAGATATAATGGAGAATGTGCAGAGCTGGACTGGATTTTGAAGAATTTTTTTTTAAGCAAAGAACATGAGAAAACGTTTGAGTATGAGCAAAAGTGCAAAGGGAAGAATGACGTGCTTGGCTTACTCACCGTTGAGCAGGTTAGTTGTATGGAAAACATTAAACAAAAGAAGAAAGTCAAGCTAAAATACGAGGTTATGGGTCTATGTTGGAGAATCACAATCATAGCACACATTAGCTTGAATTCTATGGCCAAGAAACCACTGAACTTGTTTGAGTTGGAAACAGTCTTTTAAGGCTATTGATAGAGTAGAATGGACAAGAGTTGGGGGAAGACAAGAAGAGAGATCGTGAGGAGTTTGAGCCCTAATGACTAGAGCTTCATTTCCTCAAGGCAAAATGTTTGCACTCTGTATTCTTTGCAGGTTCCAAGTCCCCTTTCTATAAAATGAAAGCAGGGATGATTTCTTGGGTTCTCCCAAGTTTTTGAACCATGGCCCTCAGAAACTTTAAAGTATGAACTAGGAAGTTGGCAGAAGGAATGGAAAGTTGAGAAAAAGAGCACATTCATTAAGTGTTTATTACGTGCTAAGCACTGCTCTGAGCATATCACTTCATGGGCACTAAATGACTTAATCCTTAAAGGCAATCCCCTTAGATACGAACTATTACTATCCCCATTTTGATGATAAAGAGTCTGAGACAGGAATTGAAACCCTGGCCTCTTTCTCCAGAACTTAGTCTCTAAATCATCACGTGGCATAATACACAGGACAAATCAGTGATATCTGATAGGTTATTGGATATAGAAATAACAGTAACAATACTCTCATTTGTTCAGCATTCCCATAGTCTCATGTCCTTCTTTTAACAAGGTCATGTGACGGGTAAAAGTGAAAGAAAAGAAAAATAATTCATATCAAATTACTTTAGCTAGGAATTAAAAGACTACTCTTGCTAAGGATAAGAACTGTTTTGGTGCATGAGAAACTATGCAGTGATATATGGCATGTTAAGAGACTGAAGGATAGTGTCATAGAAATGGTTATGTGGCAATCAAAGAGTTGAGAAAAGGTTTGTAAAAATATCTGCAGGTCAATATGCGTACACGACAGTGAAAATCACAGATCTGTTGAGAATTTAATTAGGTTAGATAAAGGAACAGCAGTGTAAGGACTAAATATAAACAGCTGTGTAAGGTCGTTTTAAGAGTGGAAAGAAGGAACAGACATATATGTATATAAAACACATAGACACAGAAAACAGTGTGGTGATAACCAGAGGGAAAGGGGATGGGGAGGAGAAGGAGGGCAAAGGGGGGATAAATGGGGACGGAAAGAGATTTTACTTTGGGCGATGGGCAGCCAATGCAGTGTGCAGATGTTTTGTTGAGTTGTACACTTGAACCTGTATAACAGGTTAACCTGTTTAACCTATTAAACAATGTCATCCCAATAAACTCAATTAGAAAACAAAACAACAAAAAAAAGTGCGAAGAAGGAGAAGCAGCAAGGTTGAGGAAGGAGGGAGGGACCTAGGAGGAAACCCAGAGGAACAGCCTGCCACAGAGGTTAAAGGAAGGTTTCAAGAAAGAGTAGGTTTTAACAAAGTCAAAATAAAGAAATTAAGGAGGATTAAAGTTAAAGCACCCATCTAGATTTGATGATAGAAGATGCTAACTCCACAGCATTTTAAAATCTGTTTTAAACTTATCTGTATTTTGTTGAAATTATAAACAGGTTGACTTAGATCTTTTAAATCATGGATGATGTAATTGAAATACTGAGTTAAATAGCCTACAGTGTACTGGTTGAGATGTGATGCTCTGGAGCTGGTTTTCGGGTGGAATCTCTGCTCCACTACATACCAGTTGTGTGTCATTGGACAACGACTTAACCTCTATGAGCCCATTTCTTTGCCTGAACTATCGGGATGATAATATTCCTCACCACACCCCATAGGGCTGTGGTGAGGATTGAGTTAATACATGTGAAGAACAGAGAATAATCTCTGAGAAACAGCTAAGAATATGACAATGTTAATTATATTTATTCCTATTTTTAATATTTTCTTATAAGTAAATATAGTGTGTCACGTATATTTGATGACTAAAATGTCTGCAAATGAGTAAATCAAACTACAATTAGGGTTGCTATATATCCCAAGGAAAATATGTTTCCTGATTTTCTATTCTACATAAATATTAAGTCTTGACATTGAAGTATAAGTAATGTTAAAACTGTTGACTTCAAAAATTACACTTTGATTTAAACATACTCACCTGAGACAAATATATCCTTTACTGTTGTTAACCTCTAGAAATTTAGTTATTATATAGGCAGCTAAAAACTCTTGAGAAAGGTGTTAGGAAGAACACACATTCAGGGTGTGTAGGAATAGAGAAGGCTGATGTGTCAAGAGGTGACAACAATCACAGTTTCTATACATTTGTTCCATCAGAATTAAATATGTTTTATCCTTCACAATCAGCAGATACACAAGACGACAATTTCTAACAGTTGCGGGCAAAAACACTCTTTCAAAATGTATGTTTAGTGGCATTTGCTATATTTAGTACTGCATTCCCCAAGCCAATCTTAACATTTTGTAAATTGAATGCCTAAAAGCACATTTTAATTTAGAAACTGCTGAGTTTAACATATTGCCTACATTTATCTTGTATATTCAGGTGTACATGGAGTACCTAACGTGTTTATTGTAATTGTACCGTCTAACAGAAACATTCGATAAGAATGCGAGTCTTCTAATCTAACCACATCCGGTTCTATATTTCACAAGGAGTTTCGTTATTCTCATACAGCAATCCAGGTAGGAAAAGAGCTATTTTCAGTTCTCACTTCTTGAGATGGTATTTGGAAATTAAGGGAAAGCAAAGAAACAAATATACATTAAAAGCTATTACACACACGGTCTAAAATTTAGAAATGTTCTGTCTCCTAAAGTTATGATAATTCTTCTGAACTGAAGCAAAGGTATCAGGCTCTATTGATGAAACAACCTTTTTTTCCTCCTCAAAATCAGATGATGTGGTGAATTAAGAGTTCTGGTGAGTATCTGAAAATGTCTGGCCAAGAGGCATGATTTAATTAGGTCTTTTGAAAAGCCTATTTATTTACTTAATATCCCAAATATGCGGTATCGGCAATACCACAAGAAACAAATATCATATTTCAGCTACAGCATAGTGGAAATAATGCTGTTTAAAAATATTTTACTCTCCTGAGGAACCTCAGAGACAAAAGCACGTGAAAGGAATTCTGAAAGTAAATAGCTATAAATTGCAAATGCATTTCACATCCTCAAGTAGTTTCAAAAACAAGTATGGCACCATGAAACAAAGCTTGAGTATCCTGGCCCATTACAGGCATAATAATTCTGTTTATGGAAGGAAACGGGAGACTCAAAAAGTCACGTGCTTCTGAAAGATGTGTATCTTGAGCCAGCACATGTTTCAGATGATATTTAAATTAAGCTTAACATGTACACGTTGCTTTCTAAAACTGAATCCCTGGCCCAAGCATTATTCTCCAGTGCCCGACCAGAGTGTCTCTAACATGCTAATACAGTGCTTTTCTGTTCGGTTTCATTATTAAGAAAAAATGTACAAATAACAAAAAAAATATATCAACACAATTTGCTGATGACCTACATAATCTTAGCGTTTTAAAGAATTCCATTAATCTCTCAAAATCAATCCACCATCTGGGTAGCTGTGTAACAATTTAATGCTGATGTGAAAAAGGCTATAAATGGAGCCATTTCTAAAGGGTGTCGGAGCTGCCATCCCGGAAAAACTGCCTTTCGAGTCTTACTCTGGGAATATTTGGGATATTTGAACCAGGCAAAGTAACCTGTGGATGGGCCAAACCAACTCTGTCTTACAAACTGTTACAAAGTGACCGGGATAGCAGCCCGCCTGCCCACAAGGACCGATGTTCTGGATGTTCTTTACACTCCATCACTAGCCATGCATAGTTAACGGGTAACCTAGCCTGTTGGCAACAACAGAAATTCCTCTCTTCTATTCAGGTAATTATTTCCTTTTCTCATTAAAACTCCTTGCCTTCACACCATGATCAGAACATCATTTGGGTTTCTGCCCGCATCTGTGCTCCCGGATTGCTTTTTTTTTTTTTAATCTCAAAGGCTTGTAGCATCTCACTTTGGCTTTTAATTTTCAGTTAACACTGACCCCAGACTCCAGCCCCCACTAATACTCCTGCAGATATAAAATTCATGGGGAGCTATTACTTGCAAGTCCTTACAGAAATGGGAAGGTTTAACTGGAAGTGGTATCAACTAACGATGTCTAAAATGGAGCTCTTTTGACACCTAAATTAAAATTTTTTTGCATGCACCATAGAGGAAATAAATGCTAGCTCTAAAATCAAACCAAATGAATGAGAGGCTTACCTCAGT